ACGCCGGTGAGACAGGCCTCCCTGTCCACAAAGAGCCCCTCCCGGCCCCCCAGCTCCCGCTGGCAGCACGCCTCGGGAGGGGCCCTCTCCAGAGGGGAGTGGGGAAGCTGAGGGACAGCCTCAAAATCCTCTGGTCCGTTGACTCCGCAGCAGGCAAACTGGGGAGAGGCAGAGAGGGAGAAGGGAACACGGGGGTGACACCTTGCCCTGAAAGCAGGCAGGAGAAAACTACCCGGGCACTCTTCTTGCAGGGACCAAAGCTTGAGTTAAAGCAGAGCCAAAACAACTGTGCTTTCCAAACACGTGGGCTCTGCCTGTACCTTGGAGCTTCTGTTTCATCAAAGCCTTTTTATGAAGTCCCACTGTTCCCTGCCACCCTGTGGACTCCAGGGGACCCCCCTGGGAATATTGCCAGCAAGGGCACAGGGCTCTGCAGCACACCCAGAATGACTGCCCCGAGATCACCCGCAAGGAGCCCCAGCAACTGCAGCACCCCCCTTCAGGATTCAGCTCAGGTCCTTTTTAACAATTCAAGTCACACCCTGACTCTGGCTCCTTTCAGGCAGCAAAAGGAGATGTCTTTATTCAAGCCCTGGGTCAGCATGAAGGGCAGCAATCACCTTTTTCTTTGAGGATGAAAACTGACTCTTCACCTGCAGAGCTGCCACCCTGATCCCCCCTCCTGGGGACAGACACGGGGGTGTACAGAGCCCCAGCTCCACACACACACACACACACACACAGAGCTCCCTGCAGCAGCTAACAGCTCCAGCCCCAGTGACAGCCACTCCAAAACCTGTCTGAGGGGGGCTGGAACCACCAAGTGAGCTCAGAGTCAGCTGAACATCCACCACGAGACGTCCTCCTGCGTCATCTGCCACTCACCAGCTCGCTTCACAAGAGACAACAACGAGTTGTCAGCACCCTGTTTGAGCTGCTCTTGGGTGGGAACAGTTCCCAAGCAGTCTGCAAGGTGACAGCTCCAGGGGAAATGCAGTGACATGCACTTGCAGACAGCTCCACAGCTCAGTCACACCATCCGTTTGGTTGGATGAGACCTTTGAGATCATGGAGTCCAACCATTCCCCAGCACTGCCAGGTCCCCACTGCCCCGTGTCCCTCACCCCACATCTCCACGGCTTGGAAACCCCTCCAGGGGTGGGGACCCCACCACTGCCCTGGGCAGCTCTGGCACAGAAGACATGTCTCTTCAGATCCAACCTCAACCTCCCCTGGGGCAACTTGAGGCCCTTTCCTCTTGTCCTGTCGCTTGTCCCTTGGGAGCAGAGCCCGACCCCCCCCGGGCTCCAGGCTCCTGTCAGGAGCTGTGCAGAGCCAGAAGGTCTCCCCTGAGCCTCCTTTGCTCCAGGCTCAGCACCCCCAGCTCCCTCAGCTGCTCCTCCCCACACTTGGGCTCTAGACTCTTCCCCAGCTTCGTTGCCCTTCTCTGGCCACACTCCAACCCCTCAAGGTCCTTCTTGGAGTGAGGGGCCCAAAGCAGAACCCAGGATCCAAGGTGTGGCTTCACCAGTACCCAGTCCAGGGGGACAATCCCTGCTCCTGCTGCCCACCCTATTTCTGGGCTCCCTGCCCCCGCTGTTGGAAAGCTGGGGGTGCCATGGGGTCACTTACTGTGATCATAACGGAGTTCCAGGTGGAAGAGAAGACATCTGTGTCGTTGTTCCTCAGGTAATGCTTCTTCAGCTCCTTGGTGAAAAACTCCCTGGTCAGCTGAAACACAGAGACAGGGGCAGACATGAAGGCCACAGCCACCACCCTGCCCGGCCCTTCCCCAAGCTCCCCCCGAGTGCTGGGGGCTCCTGGCTCAGCTGGGGATTGCTCTTCTCTTTTTTTGCAGACCTCAGAGGAGCAACATGGGGAAAGCCTCTGGCTGAGCCACAATTACAGCCCAGCTCAAAGGTACCTGTTGAATAAAACTTGCTCATTAAAAATCAGGGATTGAATGATATCTAAAACTGTAATATAAAGTTTACACTTAAAGGCTGGTTGTTTTGTTACCTTTTCAGTGCTATTTGAATGTGTTTCATAAGTCAAAACAGGACTAAAGCAGATCTCAGAAAGTTCTTCAAATGCACACCAAACAGAAGGTTAACTTACTGTGCTTCATCAGCCCAAGCACCACTTTCCCCTCACTTCCCATTTTAAACCTGGTAACCTCCTACTGATGACAGGGCAACTGCTGAGATGTGTTAGAAAGCAGAAGGAAGCCCTAACACACAACTTTCTGGGAAAGAAAAGGAAGTGAAAAACTTAGAATGAGCATGAAATGTTCAAGTCAACTTGGAAATTGGAAAAAAAGGTGTTTTCCCTGACACAGCTTTAGATTATTGAAACTCATGTGCAGAAAGGAAGGAGAAATTCCTGGTTGTGTTTCCAGTGTTTAGCTAGTTCAAACCTTATTCCATTTGTTTATATGGTTCACCTTAGGAAATTCATTCACTCCTGTTTACATTTACCATAAAATTGAAAACCTGAATGGACATTTTGGCTCAGTCTTCTCCAAAGAAGTTAAGACACCTTGAAATTACATTGAACTTCAGATCACTCTCTGGAGGACAAGTAAATACACAGACTTAATAGTCTTGTTAAACTCAACACTCCAATTCACTCTTGCTGCCTCCCTAACCCTTCAGGATGAAAAGTTTAAGGAATTCCCTTGTCAGGTTCCCAACAGGTCTTGACTTGTGTGGTCCCTTCCCCAAAACACCCTGTGATTTGGGACCCACACAGGCACCACCTCCCTGCTGCTGGGAAGGGGGCTGGACTTGGCTGCTCCGGCACCCCTCTAGTGCTGCCTGTTGCAGGGTGAGGAATTCAGCTGCCTGAAAAAGGCTTTTTTCCCCTTTTTTCCTGCTGCTGACACAGCATGGAGATGCAGGAACACACACAGCTGCGAGCTGGTGGCAGGCTCTGGGTCTGCAGTGTGACATATCACACCTGCACGTGCAGAGGGACCAGCTGGGTGGCTGGGCACAAAACCCTCTGTCTCCTCTGTAACCCTGCTCAGCAGCTCAGGAGGACACCAAGGCTGTAGTGAGTCCTTACGAGACCCCCAAACAAACACCACTGACTTTTTTCTTCCCAAATCCAGACTAAGGCCAAATTTAGTGACTACATCAACACTGGGTCAAACTTGCTGGCTAAGACTCGAATGATGCAGGCAGCTCAATCCACCACCTTTTAACTAGATAAGCCACTACATTTCCTTTTTTTCTTTTGTGGGACAGCTATTAACCCATTTCTCTGCTTTTGAACACTAAACCACCAGGGGACACAGCACCTTCCCTCGGGCATCTGCCACACTTAGGGAGGGCCAGGTTAGGAGATGCTGAAGCCTGTCCTCAGTGTTCCCCTTCCCTTCTCCTCCTCCAGGCAGCCTCCTGCCCTGCAGACTCAGCAGCACTTTTTTTTTGGCTGCTTCTCTTGTTTCTGAAGCACGAACTTTGAAACTGCTGTTGCTGTTGGTAATGATCCCCACCGACTGCCTCTGGCAGGGCCTGAAAGGAAAGGGGAATGGAAATATCAAGTGAGACCTCGATTCTGACAGCAGCGACCCCAGAGGAAACTGTTCCCAGTTTGTGTGTGATTTTTACGAGACCTGGCCTGAAACAAAGCCTGGTGCTGGAGGGGAAGCCTGCCAGGGAAAGAACAGATTCCATCTTGTTGCTCTTAAACGGTTTGTCCCGAGCAGCTGAAGTTTGGGAAAATGTAAAAAATAGTAACTCTTAAAAGAAAAAATCACCAGCAGAAGCATCTTTGTCCCTTTAAGAAAGTGCTGCCAAAGGAGGATCCAGGCACTACGTCCTGCCAAGGTGGCCACAGTGCCCCTCTCACAGAAGCCCATCAGAGCACGGGAGGCAGGAGCTACCCAGAAGGGAGCAGGTAGCAGAGGACCCACTAACAGACCCACGTGTTCACACGTGCTCCTGCCAACACGGCCGTGTCAGCCACAGCCATGAGGAACAAAGAGCCATCCAGCTGTGGCTTTGTCCAGCTGTTCTGGGGGGAGCACCCCTGGCACACAACACACACACCTCTCAGGGAATGAAGTGGGACTGGCCCCAAAACCAGCCTGGCAGGGATTCCTGCAGCTGCACGAAGGGCATTTAGGCCAAAGGGGCATTTCTGCACCACTCCGGCCTGCCCACTGCCCAGGGAGGTCCCAGTCTCCTCACACAGCTCCTGAATGCTCTGCAGGGAGCTGGTCTCGTGCTGCCTGCCTGGAAAAGGGGACACACTCCTGTCCAGCTCACCTGCCTGGGGCACCCCCACGTTCCTGACAGGACAGTGCTTGTGCCATAGGGACAGTCACCAGTGCTGCTCCTCCCACGTCCAGTGACATCCACCCCAGAGACCTGCAGCTGCTCAGCTGAGGGATGGCTGGTTCATGTGCTTCAGTTATTGCCTTGTCTGGGGAAACAGAGGCACTGGGAACCAAAGCAACCTGTCCACAGGCTAAAACTCCAACATCCTGACTCCGTTCAGCGCCCTGCCACGGGGCTCAGCTCTTCCTCCTCAATCCCACCTGCTCACTAAGGAAAAGGGTGAGATATCCCTCCAGGGACTTTCCCAGCCAGACCTCTGCAGGGCTCATGAAGAGAACTTCCTGCACTCAAGCCAAATGGCTCCTTCATTGAATCACAGGGTAGCTTAGGGTGGAAAAGAGCCTGAAGATCACAGATTTCAAACACATCAGTGTCTATTGTTCACACAAGATGTTATTTTATGGTGCTGTTTTCTAGAGGAAAAAGGGTTCTCTACCCTCCCAAAGGTCTTTTACAAAGGAAGAGAAACCCTGGTACTCCCACAGCTGATTAACACCAGCCTTCCTCTTCAGAGCCTGCTTTGAAGCTGTCCTTTGGGAGTGCAACTGCCCTTGCAGCTCACAGTAGCTCAGCACTGCAAACAGCACCCCCACTCACCCCCCAGCACACTCTGCTTTGCCAGCTCACCCTCTCATCTCCAATCTCAGCAGAAAACATCTCTTTTCTCCCTTATTTTTATCTCTTAATTTCTTTCACTCCCTCAGCTATTAATAATTTAACCCTGCTGAGTGCTGGAGAGCTAGTTTGGATGTGAAGCAGCACAGAAGGGAAAGCTGCACTGAACATTATCTGGAAAGCCAACAGATAGAGCCCAGCTTCTGTTGTCCCATTTTATGAGCCCAGGGAGGCAGCAGCCATATGAACTGCTGCAATGACCATCACAGCAACCCGTTTGGTAAGCTTCCAAGAAATTTAAGTTGCCTCCATGTGTATTTACCACCACACGCCTTCCAAGTAAGTTGTTTTGCAGGCAAGAGAAGAGCAGAAATGCATCTGACCCTAAATTGCTACTGTGAAGAATTCTTGCCAACGTGGGGTCACTGGAGGACCACCTCTGTCCCCGTGGACATCCTGCCCAGCCATCCAGACTCACCCTAGCCCAAAGAAGACAGCAAAATTAGCCACAAGAACTTGCCAAGCCAGAGGAGCTACCACCAAAATATATAGCAACAGCAAAACAAGGGCTGGGCTGTTTGGCTGGTCTTTTGTTTTTTGTTTTTTTGGTTTTTTTTAAGAAGAAACCTGAGGAGAGAACAAACCACACAAATCTGCAGGCTGAGATTAACTGCTGCACAAAGCCACCTCCAGCTCTGCTGGGATCTGACGTTCTTCATTCCTTCCCAGGAACACAGAATCCCTCCCTGTCAGTCACTCTGACAGAGTGGGAAGCTGGTGATACAAACAAGGAGACAAGCTCAAGACAGGCAGAAGTTTGTTCCCTTTCAAGTTTTATCTTGCAAAACACCAGCAGATGCCACGAAGTCTAGAATAACCACCGTGACCTTATCTTGCAAGACAACATCTCCTCACTTGTCCCACGGCTCCCACACCAGACCCCCCTTGCTGCAGCCCACTCAGGGAGCAGGAGCTCTTCCCACGAGGGCATGGGCTGGGACACTGTCAGTGCCCTTCTCCACGGCCTTCAGGTCTGAGGCAAAGACTTAGAAAGCCTTTAGAGGGGAAATAATATCCTCTTGCTACCATCTGATGGCACAAACAGCAGGTTGTCCCACTCTGAGCTGCCTCAGTCTTGACTCTCTGCTTAGCAAAATGTTTTTACATGAACAAAATGCAAAGTATACCCTGGCTCAAGAAAATCCCTGGGGCACGGGGTCCTTCTATGCTCCTGCCATCATCAGTGCAGGGAACTTGCTGCGTGTTCCCTTCCTCCTGGCAGAGGCCAAACAAACAAGCTGAACACTGGCAGTGACTAGTGACCACCTCTGCTGGCCTGTTCTTCCCCAGCCCTCACTCAGAGTCACAAGTCAAAGACAGGCTGTGCTGAGAAATATGGACCCAGTGCAGTCAGGCTCTTCTCAGCACACGTGGGAGCATGAAAAAAATGGAATCATAGAATGATTTCAGTTGGAGGAGATGTTTGAGATTGAGTCCACCAATCCCCCAGCCCTGCCAGGTCCCCACTGCCCCGTGTCCCTCACCCCACATCTCCACAGCCTGGAAACCCCTCCAGGGGTGGGGACTCCACCACTGCCCGGGGCAGCCTGGCCCAGCCCTGGACAATTTTTCTGTTCCTCGGGTCCAGCCTAAGCCTCTCCTGGCACAACTTGAAGCCATTTCCTCAAAACGTACAAGCCTTTGTTGTTAGGGAAATGGATGAGACTGCTCTCACTGAGAGCCTAGGTACAGCTCACTGCTAGAGCAGGGGAGGGAGGATGGCTGGACAACATGCCCAGCAGCAGAGCAGGGAAAGGCTGCACCATGTGAAGCTGTGGAGACAAGGACCAGAAAGTTGTAAGCAGGACAATATGCAAGAGATCCATTGATGGGACTCCAAATGAGACTTGCTGAGGGCAGGGCAGGAGGCAGACCTTACAGGCAGCACTCACGAGAACATGAGCATTCAGGCAGGAGCAGGATGAGAAGAGCACAAGAGAGTTTCTGCACTGCAGAGCAAGCAGTGGCTCTGCTGGCAAAGCAGGAGGTTCCCCCATGAATATTAAACACGTGCTGGACTGAAAAAAGAAACGAGTTGCTTTTAACCTTTGCGTGACTTGACTCTAGAGCTTCCCTCTGAGGGAACGTGCAGCTGGTTTGGCTGCAAACGACCCAGGAAGATTCTGAAAAGGTCAGGATTTGAAGTGCCCCCCCGGCGTGCCGCTCCTGTGCCCACAAAGCACCCCCCTGCAGGTGCCAGGCTCGCTGCCCCTCGCTGCAGGAGCCACCAGGCAGCTTTGCTGGGGTCTGAACCAAAGAGCTGCTCCACAGGCACCCCAGCCCCACGGAACCCCCTGCTCCAGCGGGGTGCAAGCCCACTGGGGTTCAGAGCTCACCCACCACCAGTCACTTACGTTTTCTCTGAAGATAAAGGCCAGGATTGCAGCTGAAAGCTCCGCCAGGAAGATCAACAAAATAAACATGAAGAACTGCAAGAGAGAAGATGAAAAAATAAATAAATGTATTGTTAGGTGTGTGCAATAGGCAGCAGGAACTCGGGGTTTTGGTAGTTACCAAAGAGGTGGAAAAAAAAAACTGAGGAAGCTTTTTTTTAACCTTGACCATTAAAAAACCTGTGAAACAATAACCTGGAGCAGAAACAACCCCTCTCTGACCACATCCAAGACTCAGAAGCTTGTGACAGTTTTGCCTGGCCCTAATGGGTCCAACCTTCATCCCAACATCTCCCTGACCACTAGACCATAGCCTCAAGTGCTCCATCTACTTGTTTTTTGATCATACTCCAGGGACGATGACCCCAGCACCTAAATTCAAGGCTCCCAATAACTAGCCCACAGACTCCAAGATGACTTTACAAGACTGGGTACATGTTTAGAAATTAATTCAGACTTTGGCCCCACGTGAGAAGAATAGGAGTGAATGAAGAACTCTAAGAACCCATCACATGGAGGGTGATAAACACGTGGGATGTTACCAGTGAAGGTGGTGGAAGCAACAAGTAGAAATGGACACAAGAGAAGTAGGGATGGTGTTTTTTTTGGTGTGAGAAGGTTGTTGAAGGTCTTTCTGAGACAGAAGGCAGGCAGACGGGGCCAGAAGTGCTCCTGTGATCCCCAAGCCATGATTTATGAAGACGTGTCTGCAACGCTGCGCGCCGCCGTGGCGAGAGAACTCAAACTACCTGCTGGGCATGGGCACATGTTGGCCTGGGGTCAGTTTTCAGAGCTGCCATTGTGCCCCCTGGAACAGTGCTCACACCACCCTGGCCCATCTGTCTTCCTCCCTCTGCAGTGGAAACAAAAGACACGGAGCCTGGGCTGCAGTGGCAGAACCACACGAGCCGGACGAGTGGGGTCTTCAGCTGCAAACAGAATCCTGCTGCTTGCTTTGCTGAACTAGTTAACTCTGTATAATTTATTCTTAGTGCTGGAGTTTTCTTCGTGGCCTCTTTCTTCTCCTGCTCAGAGACTGTTTTGTTTTTCATTTCACCACAGGAGGGCAAAGAACAAGTGATGAGAGTGAACGATGCTTTGCAAATTCCCATCACCATCCATCGAGGGATCTTAGCACAGTCACTAAGAGGTCCAAGGTGGTGATCAAGTGATTAATCCCCTCACCCTGCTAATTGCATTTCATTTACTGATTACTGGGAGACACGTTCCCCCAAGCTCAGCACAGGCCTGTGCAGAAGTGGAAGCAGCCATTCCCAGGCTATCTGTGACAAGCTTCTTTAGTGTTCCCAGGCTGATGGACACGTCGGCTGTGCTGGCTGCAGTACAGGTCAGTAATGGGTGCTGTAGGAGAAACACCAGCAGCCTCCAGGGCTGAGGAGAAAGAGAAGATGGGACATCAGTATTTCAGATCTTGCTCTCATTTTAAGGAGAGTCAAAATCTACTTACTACTGTTTTGCCTCCCAAATCAAACTGGTTACAGATACACCAGGGCACTAACCAGCCAAGGGGTCGTTGCACAGGACACATCCAAACTGGTACTTGAGACCCAACACCTGAACGTGAGTCCCCCCACACCCAAGGTGAACATCCTGAGGAGCAGGGGCTCTTGTGTTGGTCCAAAGTCCTGCTTCAGCTCCTGCTGACAGTCACGGGTTTCTCAGAAGTTTCCCCAGATCAGTGTCTCCTGCTCCTTTTTCACAGCTCATCTACTGTTCCAGTTTCAGTGAGGCTGTTCCAAAAAACTGCCTTAGGCCACAGGATCCACATTTTCACACCAAGAACCTTCAGGGGCTGCTGCACCTCTCGTACAGCAGTGCCACGTGGGGTGTCTGCACTCCAAACCACCCCCAGCAGGGCCTGCTCTCAGGGAGAAGCTGTGCTCAGTCCTGTGGAGCAGTGCTGGACGCTCAGCAGCACTTGGTGCTCTCGTTTCACGGCGTTCTGCTGCACTCACAGGGGCTCTGGGACAACCCACAAGTTATTCAGTGCTTGACTGGCAGGCCAAAGTTTGTTGCTCTTCGTGAGCCAAGTCTAAAGCTGGGAAATCCAGAAACATTTGACAGCCTTGTGCTTAATGCAACATGCAAGGTCCCATGGTGATGATTTTTTACCAGAACACAAGCAGCATAATGAAAACCAAAAGTCCTTGCAAACACAGGAGCCAGGATCTAGAGAACAAGCATTCATGCATCTGTCTTGTCCCTTCTACCTCCTGTTTACATGTGGACTAAAAGCCTCAGCTATACATTATGCATCACACTGAAATCTCACTCAAGCAGCTCTCTGGCTCATCAATTCTTTAACGGCTTGGTAAGTGGCCTTGATTTGATCTAGCACCTTCTCCCCAGGTAGCACCCCCAAGCCCAGCTCGCTGTTTGGCAGGCTCTTCCCAGTCTCTCCAGCATACACTCATGGAGGGTTTGCCTCCTCAATGCCTAAAACTTCCTCCCATCTGAATTCTGGTTTCACAGGTGGTTCATGCATTTTAGCATCAGCTCGTGTGCTCCCCCCAAAAAGGCAGAAAGAAACACCAGCACATCAGCATCAGCACCTCAGCACCAGCACAGACCCTTCCACGAGTGCTTTGCTGCTGTGGGACATCAGATGCAGCTCATTTCACAGAGCTGACTTGGATACCAGGAGCCAGAGAAGACCTCATCCAAGTAGAACACCAGATTCCTCACCCAGCAATTACTTCTAGACTATCTCCTTATCTAGGGCACTAATTCCAGCCGCTACATTTCTCACAAACTAGGTATAAAATAAAATAATAATAAAAGTAAATAAAGCAAAAGGGCTCAGACCTATTTCTAGGAGTCAGAAAAGTCATAACCACAGAACTGAGTGCATGGGAGCATCACAACACCACCAGGAGGAGCATTCAAACCCTGATGTTAAGCCAGGACACAGCATGGCCCTGAGCTCCCTTCCCTTCCTCCAGCCAGGGCTCCCATCTGTATGCAGCAGACACACTCCCCAGTGAAAACATTCCTCTCCCATTGACTTGCAATCAATACTTCTCACCCAACACAACTTTTAAGTTCTTAATCTGACAGGGACAAGCTTTAACATAACCTTGGGTTCATTGGGCCTTCTCCTTTGAATTTTATTAGGTCCCTCTGGGCAGATCTCCATGACTTCACAGATGATAGATTCAGTTTCTGATTTACTCCTGAGGTGAGGCACTAGAATTCAAACTCACGGTGGCTTCCAGAGAAGGGCTCTCATTTGCACATCATGAATAAAAGGGGTGGGTGAGCCAAGGGCCAGAGAGACTTAAATCTCAGTGAAGTCACGTTCATCTCTAGGAAAACACAGGCTTGCATGCAAGGAAGAGGACTCTCCAGCTCTGCTGAAGGTTAGAGACCAGCCCCTTCTGTCCAAGTTACAACCACAACAAAACACTGTAAGACCAAGACTGAAAAACAAACCAACAAAAACCCCAAAGCCCCAACGGGCCCAGAGTGAGAAACAAAAGGTCACATTTGACACAAGTGACAAGTAAAACTAAAAATCTTTGTCTTTAAATACACAACTGGTGGTGACTTCCAGTAAGAGGCAATGGCTGGAAACCCCAGTGTCAGAACTTCTGGCAGAGGTCAGAAGTGACTTATCTTAGAGGCTGAAACCACAGGACTTGACCACATGGCTGAAATCCAGCCCCAACATTCAAGGGGAGATTTCCCAGAAGATGACAAATGTGGCTCCTTTTTGGAGCAGAGCAGGCTGCAGGAGGGGTGAATCCACAAGTGGAGCAGCAGGGATTGATCTGATGGTCAAGAGAGGATCACTTCTGGTCAAGGTAAACAATAACCTACACAACCAAGCAGCACCATTTTGTAACACAGCTTAACGAGGTCAGAATGTGTTCCCAGGCTCCACAGCCACTGGGCTCCAATCTTGAAAAGCAAACTCTCTGCATTTCAAGCTGTGTGTCTAAGCATCATCAGCCTATTTGTTATCTAAGGGAATAACAGCTACAACAGCAGCCCCCCCTTGGTGTGCTTATCCCAGCACAGCCAGCTGGTCACCGACAGAGGGGCAGCAGGAGGCACTTACCAGCAGCAGGAGGCACTTGTTCTCTCGGGCAGCCCCGCAGCAGCCCAGGAAGCCCAGCAGGAAGAGCATGGCCCCCATGGCCAGCAGCACGTAGGCCCCCGTGAAGAGCAGGGGGTTGGCGGCCACGATCTCCCGAAATCCGGTGGGATCCACCATGACCCAGATCCCAACTCCCAGCAGGCACGCTCCTCCCAAGGATCAGGGCACGGGGAGAGGAGAGGAGAGGGGGTCAGGGCAGAGTAAAGCAGCTGCTGCACAGCTCCTGGCCTCACTGCTGTCCCCTGCCCGAGCTGCTCGCCTGGAGAACTCGTGTTTCTCCACGGCAGGTGCTCCCTGCTGGGCAGGTGACTGCTCACA